AGTCTCAATCAGTTCCTGCAGAAAATTTGAGGGGGGTTCTGAGACAAATATGGAAGAAACAGATCTACTTTCTAACGGAATGACATGTGACCAAGGTTCTGTGACTATTCCACCCAACGAAACTGAGCAAGCATCTACAAGTGCAAACAGGAGGAAGCGCACAAGAACCAACAGCAGATATACCCGCCGCCTCAGAAATTTAGCTGAAACTGAATTAGCCAGCATCAGTCATCACAATCAGTCAGACCCTGAAAAAGCTAAGCTCATCACAAAGTGCAGGATACTTGGCAACGGCAACCTTCTCAAAGATGTCATTAGAAGGTATGAATATCTGAAGACACAGATTCATGACTTGAAGAAGCTCTCTGTTCGTGAATTTCTGTCAGAAAAGGAAGTTTCAGAAGAATTAATTGCCATGGTGGAATGTGAAGTGCGCAACCATGATAAGCACCCAGCTGGGAATAGGTATAAACCCACAGACATAGAGCGAGCTATTGGTTATAAGAGCTCTGGTGGCAACAGTGGTTTGGAATTTACAAGACAAATTAGTAAGAATCCTTCACGGCAAACTGTTTGCAGAGCAATGAAAGGATTTGACTTTGAAATGGGTATATCTGAAGACACCCTTTGTATGCGTCATTTAAGATACCTGTTTCTGAGTAATGAAGACAGGGCATTCAAGATGGTTGTTCTTGCATTTGATGAGACTGCAATCACAGAGCACCTGACACTACAGCCTGGAAAAGGAACTGTCCTTGGCTTTGCGGATTCGGGTAATGGAGACCGCCATCCTACTTTGGCAAACAAATTTTTCGTCATGCTTGCACAAGGACTTTTGATGGATTGGATGTTTCCTTGTGGCTTGATGCTTGTCACTGGTACTATAAAAGGTTTACCACTTGCTGATATTATCGTCAAAGCCACAAGTGCTATCCAACATTTAGGTGGGGATGTCATTCTCACAGTATGTGACCAATCAGCTCCCAACATAAAAGCTATCAAGACTCTAATGGCAAGGTTCCCTGTGATTAAAAATGGGAGTAGGTTGGAGAGCCAGTTTGAAGTTAGTGGCAAACCAGTGATTTCGATATATGATTCTCCTCACATAGCAAAATGCGTGCGAAATGCAATGCTTGGTGGTGAAGGGTCTGACGTTGTCACTGGATCAATAGAATGGCCTATTGACGTTGATGGAAGAGAAGTTATTCATGAAATGCCCTGGACTGAATTCGACAAGTTACGTGCTCTTCTTGGTAACGACTGGAAGCTTCTTGATAAGTTAAGCGATGCTCATATAACCCCCAACAAGAAGATGAAGGTAAAATATGCTCTTGAGATTTTTAGTGCAAAAAATGCCACATTGTTCCATAGAGCTAGAGATTTATTGCCCAACGCCAGCAAAAATGCCCAGGTTGTAAGAGAACTTGATGAATTGTTTGACTTGTGCATTGGACATAGTTCCAGAGAGCCAGTTGATACTATGAAAGAAGCAAGAAAGCCAATGTCAGCTACTTCAATTCACATGAGAAGATTTCCAGTATACCTTGAGAAACTCAAGAAAGTCAAGTTTTGGTCTTACAGAAGATGTAAGAATGAGAGAACTGGACATGTAGAAGTTAAAAAGTTTCCATCTCAGTCAGTTGTGCCTCAAACTTGGCCTCATACAATCAAAGGACTCATCCATCTTTATGAATTGTTACGTGAGTTGAATATTGACAGTTGCAATATTCGTCGCGCATTACAAGACTTTCTGGAGTCCTTATTTGGCCGATGCAAGTCAGGCCGGAAAAATCCTACTCCACTGCAGATACTGGAAGGCTTGAAAGTAGCCTGCATCAGTCGTGTTCTAAAGCCCAAAAGCAGAGATACTAACTGTGATGAAGAAGGCAAGGTTTATACAGGCAGTTTGCGACAGTTTATGTCCTATGGGGTCAAGGATCAGGAATGCCAGGGACAAGATGAGAATCTAGAACCATCTGTTTGTGTACAGGGTATTGAGGAATATTGTTCTGAAGAGGAGGTTATTGAGGAAGATGAGTCTGAAGAGGAAGACTTTCCTGTGTTGAGTCTTGAAGATTCAGACATACTTGACATACAAGAAGGACCTCAGACTGAATACGAGAACTGTGATGCAGTGAAAATGGCTGTTAAGGTCATGAAGCAAGTACTTAGGAATAAGTGTAAATCCTGCAGCACATTGCTTACTACAAGAAGTAACCCAACCGAAGTGTATTCCTTGGCCATCGAGATAGACAGTCTTGGTGAAAGCAGTCTGCTTCCATCTGAACAACTTGTTGATCTTGTTAGAGAAACCAAAAAAATATTTCAGAATTCATGTCAGGATCACATACATGAAACTAAGGCAATGTTAATGGTTAATAAGAATCTGACTCAAAATATTCGGTTTTGTTCCTGGTTCACTTGTGAAGCCCCTGGACATTTCTCTAATGTCTTATGGAAGCTGTCGGAGGCGCTTGTCACAGAGCACATCACATTTCTAAACAAGCAGGTGAAAAAAGGACCAAGAAGGAAAAATAGGGACCCGCATATTGTTCAAAATCTTGTTGCCAATTGTTTTGCGGATGATAATGAGGACTTGGCTCAGGAAATGGAGGAACAACTAGCTGATGACATTGATGCAATGGAGGGAGGCCAGCGGCAACCGAATAGCAATCCGTTGCTTCTTGTTCAATCTAGCTCCTCTGTGGTTAGTAAAGTCCTGCAATGTAAACTGAACCCTTACCTTTAATCAATACTTCAATTTTATCGATTAATATTTTTTATATCTTTGTCTAGGTATCATCTGCTGCATCTAGGGCTTTAGAAGTTGCTTCCTCAACAGGAACAGCAACTGGTATCCCAATTCGTACAGTCCAACCTATACAGCAAGTTGCAACCGCCCGTGACACAATTGGTACATCTTTGGTTCTCTTTATCTTTTGACATTTTTTAGAGAGTACTGAATCTAACTTAAGGTTATTTGAACAGGTGGATGGTCAATGAGTTTAGCATCACCAGCCACAACTCTGCTCTTGAGAGCTGCCACTCCTCAGTCCAAGCAGTCCATTCAGCCCCCAGGACAACCAGGTCAAAAAGTAACTCCTGTCAAAATAGACCATCGTGTGCCGCTGGCTACGGTAAGTCTCTCTTCAGTTCCTTACATATGTCTCAGCTGCTCAAAGAGTAAATTTTAGATTCTAAACTTTTTATTGATTTTTTACAGATGCCTAAAACTTGCCTTGTGCCTACTAAAACAGCAAGTAGTATCCAAACTTTTCAGGCTAGAAAAGTTGACAACCCACAGGTCGTAACTTGCTCAGCACAAGGTGCTGCACTCCAGCCTGGTGGTAGGGTCCTTCCTCAAGGTTCAAAATATGTAACAATTATCCACAACGTGACAGGTATGTAAAGTTAACTTTTATTGTCGTCCCATTGTGGTTGTGATAATTTGTGATTAGAGGTTTGACTGGTTCCAGGTAAACGTACCAGTCTAATTGTGAAATCTGGTGCTGCCCCTCCGGCTGGTTTAGGAAGAGGTGTTGGACTAAATATCCCAAGTGGTGCTTTGAGAACAATGCAAACAATTAATAGCGCACAAGCTGGCCATGGTACAGGTAATGTTAATGTAGCAAAACCTTTAGTAAGCGCAGTAATTTAAAAACAAGATCAACTAATCTAATTTTTCATACAGGTGTTTGTTGTGTTCAGGCCAGTCCTGGCGAACCAGTTGCTGAAAAGACTGGCGTGTCAGATATTGGTGGAAACAACATTACTCAGAGAATAGAGGCAGAACTGGATGATAATGCTGGAATCCCTGAGGAAGTGCACAGCAGTGACCCGCTCATTATGGAACTGGAAGCTGATGGATATTTGCGTTTCTCTAAACAAAGTGAGAGCAGCAAAAGTTTGTCAACAGTCCCCATGTATGGATTAATCTATCATTTGAATGATTTATTGTTGTGTTTTTCCCCCAGGATGATTTGCATAGTACCTTAAATTATTCATAACAGTATGCGTTCTAAATATTTTCCTATGGAATGGGAACAGATGTTATTTGTCAACCAACAGTTGTTTAGAACCAAGGTACTTTGACTGTTCAAAAACTACTGCAGACTTCTTGTGAGTCTAAATATCCAAAGTGGTGCCTTGAGAACAAGTGGGCCCATGTATGGATTAATCTATCTATTTGAATGATTTACTGTTAAGAGCTGACTGGATTGTGGTATCACTGCCAATTCTGCGAAGGCTCAAAGGCATGCACAAGTTAACCTTGCAGTTCGAGATGAGAGTGGTCAATTTGAGTCCCTTGATCTTACTCAGTATTCTTCACCTCTAGATCTTCCTCATGTGATGAAAGTTCAGGAGCCCAATGGCAGTGATGTAAGTACTTGTTTCTCTTGGAACTGACCATCAACTTGGACCGTTCTCTTACACGTCGTCTTTTATTTCAGGAGAGGCTCACCTCCTGATAACTGCCCGCCTACTGAAATATCTTCAATTAAACCTGGCATAATGTTGCAGGTTCCCTCAGACCAACGAGGGACGTCCTCTCTGG